TGCATATACATGCACACAGAAATGCACGTGCACACGCAGACAACATGCACACACACGCACGCATGCACACGTGACCAATGCCACCACCATCGACACAGTCACCACCACAGTGACACTGCTTTTTATTTTCTTCACAGCACTGACTATATTTTTGTCTTGTTTATTTATTTTATGTATAGTATTTGTCTCCTCCACTTGGACATAAACTCCAAGACATTAGGGACTTATTTTCTCTCCACATAGCTATATCCCTCATGCTGGGCACGTAGTAGGTGCCAACAAAATAAACTGAATTAAAATTTTAAACAGAAATCAAACCTTTTATTAAAATGGAGGAATGAAAACACAACAGGAATTTGGAAAGGAAGGGTTAACAGCCAGCTTTGTAGTATTTTCTCAAGTCTTGGGGATCCCTGAGCATCTAACTCTTGTCCCTTGTAATCCTCAGGAAATTAGGAATTAGTATTCTAGCTTTAGAAGTGTAACTCTACCAAATCCCAGAGAAATGAGAATGCAGCCACGGACTGCGTACTGGACCAAGCCCTCACGGCAAAGATAGTTTATCAGGTCATGAGCAACAAGCATCGATGGCCTGGAGCTTCCCCCAAGAATGGGGATAATCGACAGGGACTAGCTAGATCGTAGGACTAGCTAGATCAGGACTAGCTGTGTGACTAGGCAGAAAGATGAAGAAGGATCCGAGAAGTTGGTTTTCCTGAGCTGAACTTATTCATGCCTTGTCTCTCTTGGTCACATGCATTCTGAATGCAGATGGTTTTCAAAGTTTAATTCTCTTTGGAAGTCATATCTCTTTTGAAGAGGACCCCAAAGGACTGGGCGCTCAAAGGAAGAAGAGTTCCAGAGCCACAGGCCTTTAAATGTCAATGTATGAGATGGGAAGGTACTTCATCAGAACTGAAGATTAGACAAGTGTCAGCCAATTATGGCTCACTAGCCAAATCTGGCCAGCTGTCTGCTTCTTTCTGTAAATAAGGGTTTGCTGGACCAAGTCACGCTTATTCATTTCTGTGTTTAGTTTTGGCTGCCTTTGCCCCACAACTGCAGAGCGTATGGCCTACAAGGCCTAAATTATTTACTGTTTGATGACTCCTGAATTAGAGCCTACAGACGAGACCCCATTTTATTTTAACAGTGAAACATCCAATTATCAACGTGAATTTACAAAGTAGCACTCAATGCAACCAGAATTCTACCAAATTTTGCTTGCATAGGACTCCGTCAGGCTCCTCATAGAATTTTCTCTCAAAACAACAACACAGCAACAAAATACTCTTGCTGCATTACACTCTGGACATTCTATTTGCAGCCTGTCACCACTTTGAGGCTCTCAACAGCTTGCCTCCCATACATTCTCCCTCTCTGCGGCCCCAACATGGGGTACACTGTGCCTAGTACCATACTTGTGTGCTGTGATATTCAGAAAATGCTGTTAAGACTTCACAGGAATCACCACCTTCTTCCTCAGGAAGGGTGTTCTGCAACAGTTCACATTCCTCATCACTTACGGGTTTTTTGTTTTTGTTGTTGTTGGTCTTTTTTTTTTTTTTTTAGAATTGCATGTATATTTGAAAATGTTTCATTCACCACAGAGGTTGGGAAAATTATTTAAGATGATATTGCCTATTCATTTAAATTATTTAGACACGGAGAAGAAAGAGCCGTATTAAGGTCCAAGTTTGCGAAGAAATTTCTCTTAGAAATAACACATGAAATTTAAATTCTAAATTTAAATTCTAAGCTGAAAAATGCAACCGGAAGAAATAATAGTTTACATTCTGAGGCTCAGAAGGAATGGGTATCTTTCGACAGCAATAGCAAACTTGGGAAGCCTGAGGAAATGTTCCTTAGTAAACACTTGAGTGTTGATAATTTTCTGTCAATTCACAGGAATGTATGAAGACATTCAATCTGATGTTTACTTTACCAGATACAGATTTTTTTTCTCTATAATTGTGAGGAATACATTGTTAAATAGGCAATAGAGATTATAAATAACGTTTCCTTGCAAAAATTTGAACCAAGAAATAATCTCCCCTCTTTCTTTGTCCAAAATCGTGCCTGGAATACAGTAGACACTCAATAAATTACTGAATGAATGAATGGGAATTAAGTTCATGTATCATTCTGTACAAATACATTTGAAAAATGCATCTCTTTTGCTGCGATTATCATTCCTGAATACATTTCTGACTGTATATTTTTGGGCTTTGCTTGTTATAGAATCACTTAAAATCAGATTATTGCCTAGGGAAAAAACTGGACAACATGCAAGGAAAAATGCTCAACCTAATTCAAACTCTTGTGCATAGTTCCACTGGCAAGAAGTCAGGGAAGGGCTCCATTGTATATTTGTTTTTAATATTTGCTGCACTACTTATAAGCCAAGATGAGCCACTTTATTAAAAATTAACAATGCCTGTAAAGATAGAAAAATAGGTTTATGTAACAGAAAAGTGTCCAGAAATATATGGCTCATTCACATATGCAGTCAATTCGTTTTTGACCAAGACGCTGAGACAATTCAATGGAAGGAAGAAAATCTGTTAAACAAATGATGGTAGAACAACTGGATACATGTAGGGAAAAAGTTAATACCAACTCTCTTCTTTCACCACACATGAAACTTAGTTCAAAGTGGGTCACAGAACTAAATTTAAAAACTTTAATATATAAAATGTACAAGTATAAAAACTATAAAGCTTCAGGAAGAAACCAAAGGACAATGTCTTTATGACTTCAGGAGACACAAAGACGTCTCAGACAAAACGCAAAAAGCACTAAACTTAAAAGAAAAGAATTTAAAATTTTTCCTTCATATAAATTAGAAACTCCTGTTCTTTAAAAACCACCATCAAGGGGCACCTGGGTGATTCAGTTGGTTAAGCGACTGCCTTCGTCTTGGGTCATGATCCCAGGGTCCTGGGATTGAGCCCCATGTCGGGCTCCCCGCTCAGCGGGGAGCCTGCTTCTCCCTCTGCCTCTGCCCCTCCGCTCCACTCACACTCTCTCTTGCTCTCTCTCTCTTAAATAAATAAAATCTTTAAAAAAATCACCCAAGAGAAGTGAGAACATATGTCTCACAAAAGACATATACAGATGTTTACAGCAGCTTTTAGGCTTAATAGTGAAAAATTTAAGAAACAACACAAGTGTACAACAACAGGTAAATGAGTAAGCAAATTATGGCACATTCATGGAATAGAATATTACCCCACAATAAAAATGAACGAACTTCTGATACAGTGATATAGATCCCACTCAAAAATATTTTGTTGAATAAACAAAAAGGATGCTGAATTATTCCATCTATGAACAGGCAAAGCTAATCTTTAAGGGACAGAAAGTAGATCGGTGATTGCTTGTGGGTGGGTGGGTGGGTGGGAGGAGAATGTACTATAAAGGCTAATTGGCATGTTCTTATATTGATAACATTGGTGGGTAGATGGATGTAATCATTTGTTAAAACTCATCAAACTGTGTACTTAAAATGTGTGCCTTTTACTGGATGCGAATTATACATCAGTGAAGATAATATAAACAAGAAAAGAAACAACTAAAATGAACAAGAAATGTTAACCAGATAGTTAATAAAAGCGAGCTAGCAATCTCCAACAAGCTCATGTAAAAATGCTCAACTTCATTATTCAGGGAAATGCAAATTATAACCACAGTGCCATATCATTTCATACCCATTATAAAGTTAAGCATACGTCTACCATCAATTTCAATGCTAGGTCTGAATCTAAGATACATGAAACCATATGTTTACCAAGAAACTTGTTCAAGAGTGGTTACAGCAGCTTTAGTTATATGACCCTCAAAGTGGAAACAAGCCAAATACCAATGAATAGGAGAAGAGATAAACAAATGTGGAATAATCCTATAATGCAATAATACGCACCTATAAAAAGAATTGAACTAGTAACATACACAGTAACATGTAATAATCTCAAAAACATTGTTGAGCCAAAGAAGCCAGATCTAAGAATATATACCGTGTGAGTCTATTCCTATGAAGTTCACAGACAGCCAAATTATTCTCTAGTGATAGAAATCAGAACACTCATTGCTCATAGACAAAGGACTGGAAAGGATATGAGAATGCTTTCTGGATGATAGAAATGTCCTGTGTCTTGCTGAAGGTGATAGTTTACATGGTTATATATATTTGTCAAACTCACTGATTTTAAGCACTTGAATTTAAGAACTTAAGATCAGTTACATTTCGCCATGTACATTTTATCTCAATTAATAAAAAAATCCACCCACTCAACTGAGTAACTATAGCCTTTCTCACCCTTTTTCTTTCAAGGATAATTTGGTTAATAAACATATAATCCTGGATTAATGTAAAAACATTTTATCTGCCTTTCTTTCAAGATAATTATTTTTAGATAATTATACATTTAAATAATATTATTCCTGGGGCACCTGGGTGACTCAGCCAGTTGCGCATCTGACTCTTGGTTTTGGCTCAGGTCATGATCTCAGGGTCGTGAGATGGAGCCCTGCATCGGGCTCTGTGCTCAACGCAGAGTCTGCTTGAGATTCTCTCCCTCTCCCTCTGCCCCTCGCCTCCCCCCACTCTTTCTCTCTCTCTCTGTCTCTCAAATAAAAAGAAATAAATAAAATCTTTACATAATATTATCCTTTCAAATGGAATTTGGTTTTAGTTCTCTTTCAGCCCCTAAAACATTGACTCCATAATTCACATTACCTCCAGCATCATCCAATGAAGTAAAATGATACCTGTTACTTTGTTTTAGCAGTACTTGCGGGTTTTTACTTCATGATTCATTATTTTTATTTGGGGTTCCTTTTCTATAGTGAGAAAGTATTTACGACATACTAGTGAGACAGAAGTGGAGGAGATCAGGATGACCTAACATAAGAGTCTATTATTAGTGGAAAGGTAAGGTTGGAGACTGACTGATTCGTTAGATAACAGAGGAAAAGCACGCCTTCTGAGAGAGCCTCACCTGGTAATATTTGTTGTCACCCTTCTGCTTCAGCTTGTACCATGGCCTGCTGAGCCCCTCAGGGAGGGGGCTGGTGGAAACAGGAGCAGAAGAGCTGGGAGCTCCACGATTCACATGCCCTCCCGCAGGAGTTCTTAGAGTTTGCGCGGTGGGCTACCGGGAAGAGGAACCCCAGCCTTTGAAGCCTGGAGGTATCCCGGCAACCTGTCAACAAAAGGGACAGGACTGAGCTCTCTGGTAACGGATTGGAAAAATCCAAAACAAGGGGTGGAGGGACTCTGAAACCAGCGGTACAACAGGTATGGATCTCAGATTTCTTGGAAGTTGACTCCAACGGACAGAACTCCAAGGGAGGAGAGGTGCATGAATTTAAGTCACAAGGCTCTTCTCAGGGAGGAAACGGAGTAGAACCGACTTTTTCTTTTTCTAAGGAAGAAAAAGAAACAATTTACTGTCTTACTGATCTTGTCTAAGGTCTTTAGAAAGCATGATCTATAGTGAGGAAGCCTGGCCTCTTAGGGAGACAGATGGAGGTTCTCCATGAAGATGTGGACATTATGGGGAGTTTATTTTCTAATGTGTCCCAAGTTACAGCAAACAGCTTTAAGAACTCAGGTCAACATTTTAAAATGTATCTGAAAGAATGATTTTTTTAAGGCCCATATTTAAAAATACTGAGAGATTAAGCTAATTGTGGTACGTTCTTGTGATGAAATACTCTGCACACACTAAAGCTTTTGAGATTATTACATGTTTGTAAAACAGTTTACAAACGTGGGGAAAGTACACAGTCTATTTGTGGGAAGAGAAGCTCCGAAACAGAATAAATGCTCCGATCTCATCAAACTTGCATGTGTGCTCGCACGTGCGTGTGTGAGAGTGCATGTGCTTAACTCAGAGAATGCACACTGAGCTGTTTATAGTAGTAGTTGCTGGATAATGTTGAAAAGATCCTACTAAATGTTCCTTAAGATGAGGAGTTGGGGGAAAAAATACGCCCTGACCTCTAGGATTCTACAACCCTGTTTCTTGCCCCCAGATAACTGATTTGGGAAATACAGGTGATTCACAGGACTGTGAATTCTATTGAATTCATGTCTAAAGAGCCTGCTGGACGATGAAGCTCCGCACCCTCACATTCTGCAATGCTCCAACGATGACTATTTATACAGAGAGATTTAATGATGTTTCAATTATACTATCACCTAACGTAGTTCCAGTTTGGATGTTGTTCTCCTGAAACCTTTCCTAAAATGTCACAGATAAACGAAAGAGCGTGCCTTAGGTGACTAAGCGTGGGAGTGAGAAAACTTCGTTTTACAGCGGGCTGTTTCCTAATTTGTGGGTCCCTCGTTAACCTATTTTGTACTTGACCCAAACTCCATGTTTTCTCGGCCCTACTGTGAGCTCAGTGAGATATTTCTCTAAAGACATTGCCCAGTAAATAAACACCATCGCACATGCACCCACAGTATTCCGTTCAGTGGCCAGCCACTTGGGCCAGATGGCAGAAGAACAGATAGGAAACCCTGGCCTAGGGCAGGACAGCCCGGGAAAACACGGACAGCAGATACCGCCGTGCTTAAATAGGGCAAAGGGTTCTTTATCCGGGCTGGAGAGACTGCTCTGGGGAAGCCTGAAAATAATAGGTCCTCCAGGAGCGGGCATATGCATCTGCTGGGCAGCTAAGGGCGCATTCAGAGCCCTCTCCTCTCTGGTGGGTTTGCTGACTTACCAGCAGCTTTTCTGCATTTATCAGAGCGGCTTCTGAAACTGGCTGCTGAGGAGCCTTGGTTTTCTTGCAAATTCGGGACCCATGTGAAATTCATGGGGTTGTAGTTTCAGCTTAAAGTGAACTTCCGGGTGTTCAAATCTATTTCATCTTGGCCCAACAGGCCTTCCCAGGTCTCTCTGTCTCTCTCGGTCTCTCTCTTTCTCAGCCTTTTAAAGGGACCAACGCTTTTGAGCTGCTTATATTTAAACGACAGAAAGATCAAGCTCAAAAGGCATCTCGGACATCAAATAGCTCTTACAACACAACCTTTTGATGACTTAAGTGTAAACGAAGCAGGAACATATGGATTCCATTTCCCATTAAGCACACACGGTCCTTAAAAAAAAATTGAGGGAGAATGTGCTCAGCACGATGTATTCTGTTTGCTCAAAACTAAAATAGCTGAAGAATACTTGAAGGCTGATGAATCCGAAATATTTACCCATCCCTATATTTAACATCGAGGAGCAAAGCCCTTGATTCACAGCAACAGGGAAAGTGCTCACACGTGCTGAGTGGACAACCAGCAACCCGTTTAAGATGCAAGGGACCTCATGAGAGACGATGGACTTTGAAAAACAAACTGAGGGTTCTAGAGGGCAGGGGGGTGGGAGGATGAGTTAGCCTGGTGATGGGTATTGAGGGGGGCACGTTCTGCATGGAGCACTGGGTGTTATGCACAAACAATGAATCATGGAACACTACATCTAAAACTAATGATGTAATGTATGGTGATTAACATAACAATTAAAAAATTTAAAAAAAAAAGATGCGAGGGAACTGTGGTCCATTTTCTTTTCCCTCGCCGGGTACTCAGCTCAACCTCAGATCAAAGACAGCACTTCCTTCAACAGACTTAGTCCGGTTTGGGTTTGCATGAGCTTTTCTCACCTACAAAAATTGAGAGTAATTTCAAGCTCTTGGCTGTCCATTCATGTTTGTATCCCTGTGGGGTGATGCCGGGCTCCACCAATAATCGAGATCTGACCCCTTGTGGCAACAGCCCCACCACAAGGAATCTGGTTTCTGTTCCCTTCATAAAATCACAGCTGTTGTGCCCGCACAAGCCCCTGACTTTTTCATTAAAGGAATAAATCACGGTGATTTTTATGGAGCAGGAGAAATACGGCTCCTTGCTGGTTTCTCCGAAGGTCCTGACGTCCCTTCAATGATGCAAAATCCAAGTCCCTCTCTGAAAGCGACTTATAATACTTTTGTATACTTCATTCTTTATACTGGACAGGGGCTACATTCTGCGTGCAAGATTTTTTTTTTTTTTTTTTTTAATGGTAGCAGCAGGAACTCAAACAGGATATTTGTGAAGTTTGGCAAAATAGGTCCCCTGGGCGTCCTGTTCTCTTCTACCCAGTTATGGTTCACTTTGCCTTTCTGCCTGACTCAGAAACAGCAAGAGTCCATTAGCTCAAACCCTTTCACAACCCTACCAGGTGAAGCATGAGTATCCTTGTTCTACAGATGAGGAACCGGGTTTAGAGGCTTTAAGCAACTTGCCCCTAGTTGCAAGGCTAACCCCAAAGCAAGGCTGGGACTGAAATGTGGGTCTTGCTGATACCTGAGGACTCCCCTTTCATGGCCTCCTGCAAGACCTCACTGTCAGATTGCCACACAGGACAGTCTGATCTCAAGAGAGTTGTTTTCCAAGCTACAACTTTTATCACAAGGAAAGGGTTTTATACGCTGCAGCGAATTTGAAGAGGTCTAAATTTAAACATTTGCAGAAAGTGTCCTGTGGTAGATTAGAAAGGGCACAGGAAATGCGTTAAATACAGACTTTTTAAACTTAAAAAATAAAGTATATTTGATGCACCAGAGTCTTGCGCAACACGTCTTAAACACCCGAGGACTCCTTGCCCCAGGACAGTGTTCCTCAACCTTTCTTTTTTCATTATTGCTCTCTCTCCAAATCATTTTATATATATATATATATAATTTTCATATCACCCCCAACCAGGAGATTTTAATACCACAGATAAACTTGATATCTGTTTATGCATTATGGCCCCATGGTGGGCCATAAACCAATGTATTATCTAAAGTTATGTCACCCCCAAAGCCCATTTATACTGCCTCCATGGAATGCATGCCTGAGGGACATACATCCAAAGAGCTGACAAGGCTGGCCTCCGATAATCTATAGTTAAGCTGATACACAGAAAAAGCGACCAAGAGGACATAGAAACCATGGAAACCTTCCTAAATTGCCAAAACAAAAAGCAGAGCAAATTGCCCTTCAACTGTGTGCAAGAGAAAAATGGATTTGTTTGCAGAGGCCAATAAGGGTATGATATTTTCTATGCACTTGAGTGGTTTACCATAGAACCAGAACTTTTGGAGCTGAAGTGGGCTTTAGAATATAGCCTCTAGTCCAGCCAACCGTCTTCAGGCAGAAGTACATAATTGGCCTGACTTTTTTAAATTGATGAGGCAGAGGACATTAAATTATTTGTTTATGTGCCACAGATTTCAAACTCAGACTCCAATGGGAAAAAAAAAATTGTCAAAGGACTCTCTTGCTTTATCCTTGGCATAATGAAAAACATTGCCAGGGCAGAGAGAAGGATTTCTTTCTTTTGATCTCCCTTCCTATGGATGGGGGATGCTTTTTTAGTATTATATCTAGGCGCTCCAGTGATTATAAAATATTTTGTAGTACACTGTGTTGGAAATCCTCCTCTCTCGAAGGCCTTCGATTCTCGGTTTTAAATATCTGCTGTGAATCTGGACAACACTTCACAAGTTCTGGCTCTCTCCAGAACGTCCTGACACACCCCTCCATCTTGCTTCTCTTCCTCTTTTTCAATACCCACCACACCCAGCCAAACACAGAACTTGTACATACTAGGTGCCCACAAATATTTACCCACCAAGCTGGGCACACACCTTTCTTTGTTAAAAAGGATGATGTGACTAGCTTGGTTGAAGGTAATTAAAAGTTACAAGATGTTAAGCCCCGATTAATCCTTAAAGTTTTCTACTTAATGTAATATAAACATTTTGAAATAATTTTGCTTCTCTTTTCAGAGAACTGGCAGGAGTCCAATGCTTTATGGCATGTGAACAATAAATATTTAATAAATACTTAATCACCAGTTTATTGCCCACAGATTTTCAAAGCTGGTTTAAATTAGAGTGTTCATGGCTGATAACAGTCTCATATTTTACCTTTCCATGAAGGGCATTTCAAACTCTAAATTGAAAACCGTAAGTTATAAGAGGATTCCCTCTTATTTTCATTCTTTTTAAAAATTTTTATTTATTTGACACACAGAGAGAGAGCTCAGGCAGGGGGAACAGCAGAGGGAGAGGGAGAAGCAGGCTCCCCGCTGAGCAGGGAGCCCGATGTGGGACTTGATCCCAGGACCCTGGGATCACGACCTGGGCCGAAGGCAGACGCTTAACTGACTGAGCCACCCAGGAGCCCTCTTATTCTCATTCTCTCCATAGGTCTCAGAGGGAGGGGCATTTCTCCTCCGGTAGTGGGCTTCCCTGATTAGTCCCTTCTCTCTAGCACCTTTCATTTCTTCTATTCTACCGGCTTCTTCCCCTCAGACTTCACACAGTCTCAGGTGTCCTCTATTTTAAGAGACAAGAATCTGTGCACTTACCCTCTTCCTGATAAGAATGGTCTAAGTCACTGCCTCTCTTCTCATGACTTCCTTCAGTTTTTACCCTGTCTTGGCCTATCATCTGGTTTCTATCCCCTTTTTCCCTAAAGCATCTCCTTAGAATTTAAACAGTGGCATCCCAATCAACTCACCTAAGAGTCTTTCCACTCTCCATCACCTTCGGCGACTTTGATGTATTTAACACGGTCACCCTCCAACCCATTAGAAATTCTCTCCTCTTAACCACCCCATTGATTAAGCAAAAAATACACATTCCTCAGGCTAACTTTAAGTCTTGATGAATATAAATACGATCCAGTCAAGGAGTGAAGAGTGCAAAGCCTAAGTCATGGCCCACAGTTCCTGGATGAGTTAGGAGAGACATGGCAGCTGGTCAGATGTCAGTAAGGAATGCTGTATTCTGAGACCTAGAAAGAAAGAAGAGAGGTCACTCTTTTGTGCACCACATCTTATGCCAGGCAATAGGCTACTGGGTTGTCCCGCTGCTATGATAGGTTGGAGTTTTCTGTCTGTCTTCACTCCCTGATTAACCACAGATCTTTGCTAAGACAGAAACTTGGTTAGAGTGCTAACTCATGAAAGCTTTACCAAAGAATAGACCCGTATCAGCAAGACCAAGTTTGTTTGCCTTGTAGAGGCTCATGGTAGAGGCAGACCGTGCCTTACGATGAAGCCGTTAGCTTTCAGAGTATAGCAGACCACGTCCCCATTGCCCTCGCAAGGTACTTAATGAAGCTAGATTGAGGATACATGGTAAGGGACACCAGGAAATGACAACTCGGGTTGGTCCAAATACCAATCCTCGTCTGACTATATGAATCAAAATAAAAGTTGATAGGAAAATCATCCTCTGAATCATTACTTCTTTTTTTTTTTTAAAGATTTTATTTATTTGACAGAGAGAGACACAGTGAGAGAGAGAACACAAGCAGGGGGAGTGGGAGAGGGAGAAGCAGGCTTCCCGCCGAGCAGGGATCCCGATGAGGGGCTCGATCCCAGGACCCTGGGACCATGACCTGAGCCGAAGGCAGACGCTTAATGACTGAGTCAACCAGGCGCTTGAATCATTACTTCTGAACTGGTAATGATCCGTCCCTCCACCTCAGGGACGTTTGGCAATGTCTAGAGTTATTCTGGGTGGTCACATATGGGGTTGGCGGGAGTGCCACCAGCATCTGTGGGTAGAGGTCAGGGATGCAGCTAAACATTATACAGTGCACCACATAATATGCCCCCAATAGCAAGGAATTACCTGGTTCAAAATGTCAGTAGTGCCAAGGTTAAGCCTCGTGCTCTAGACTTTCTGGGCGTTCAGAGGAGAACGCTTTCTTTCCAGAACAGGCAGGGTCAGCTCTAGACTTTCTGGGCGTTCAGAGGAGAGCGCTTTCTTTCCAGAACAGGCAGGGTCAGCTCTAGACTCTCTGGGCGTTCAGAGGAGAGCGCTTTCTTTCCAGAACAGGCAGGGTCAGCTCTAGACTCTCTGGGCGTTCAGAGGAGAGCGCTTTCTTTCCAGAACAGGCAGGGTCAGCTCTAGACTCTCTGGGCGTTCAGAGGAGAGCGCTTTCTTTCCAGAACAGGCAGGGTCAGCTCTAGACTCTCTGGGCGTTCAGAGGAGAGCGCTTTCTTTCCAGAACAGGCAGGGTCAGCTCTAGACTCTCTGGGCGTTCAAAGGAGAGCGCTTTCTTTCCAGAACAGGCAGGGTCAACAGGCTCTTTTCAGACTCATGGTGCATAACTAAGGGATTACATTACAAATGAAGCAGCAGGTACAGAAAGCCTAAGTAGCTTAGTCATATTTCTGCAGCCAACAAGTGAGGACACCTTGGAAATGTGAACACAGGCCCTGCCTGCCTGACTTCAAAGTCTATACTCTTTTCCACATCATCTACTCCAAGCAGCTAGGCGGCAGACATTCAGTCGTATGTGACTAAGTGTAAAATCACTTTTGCAATGTCAAAGCCAGTTAGAGAAAGTGCAGGGACAGAGGAGGGAGATTAGTCTTCCCCCATGCAAGTTGTAATGGAATTAGAGTGGGCAGGAATACAGCTAGGAGCCATAAAGTGTGGGCAAGTGCATATGCTGAGGAACGAGGCCAGAGCCCAGTTACAGGAAGATATTAAGACAAGTTCAGCTGGGCTGGTCAAGGGCAGCCGTACTGAAATTCACTCCTAGATAAAGCACAGACTGGCAGGGGCTTTTGAGAGGTGATGATCCCAGTCAGGTAAACTTGGTCGTGACCAAGTTGTCTGTTATCCCCCATGAGCCTTTAGCCACACTGCTCTCCTGCCCCCCCCCCCCAGCTTCTGCTCCTAGCAACTTCTCCCCCTCTTCCCGAATGCTCCTTCTCAGAGCAGCTGTTCTAACACAACCACTGAATTTTGAACTTTTCGGCTAGTGGGGTTCATGTTGTTAACAAGACATGATCTCTCCAGTATCAGACTCAAAATGGGTATGTTTATTTTCTATGGTTTGGGAGTCCCTGCTTTAACAAACATTAGCATTTTCTGTAGTCTAAATTTACCCCACTTCATTTTAGAAGAGTCATTTAAGGTTCAGAGGGAGAAAATTATCCATCCAGTGCAATGGAGAGCCAAGAAGGATATGGCCTTTGTTTGCTCACTCTGTCTTTTGATACTACATTGATTTTTTTTTCAATGAGCAATACACATATATGTGTGTATACATATACACACATACATATGTAATATGCATATGCTTTCTTGAATGGGATATATATATATCCCAGAGTATATATATATATATATATAACGCCCAGAGAGTCTAGAGCTGACCCTGCCTGTTCTGGAAAGAAAGCGCTCTCCTCTGAACGCCCAGAGAGTCTAGAGCTGACCCTGCCTGTTCTGGAAAGAAAGCGCTCTCCTCTGAACGCCCAGAGAGTCTAGAGCTGACCCTGCCTGTTCTGGAAAGAAAGCGCTCTCCTCTGAACGCCCAGAGAGTCTAGAGCTGACCCTGCCTGTTCTGGAAAGAAAGCGCTCTCCTCTGAATGCCCAGAGAGTCTAGAGCTGACCCTGCCTGTTCTGGAAAGAAAGCGCTCTCCTCCATATATATATATATATGGCACCAAAAAATGAAAAAAGAGCACACATGAAAAAGTAAATTCTTTTCCCACCTCTGACTCACCAGGTTCCCACTCCAGGACCTACTCCAGCAGCAACATGTGTTACCAGTTTCTTTTGCATCCTTCCAGAAAGCCTATGCATTGACAGTCACATAGCTATGTGGGAATCCTGCCTCATGACCCACAGGCGGGTGCCCTTCCCATTCCTCTTCATGGCCACTGCAGCTTCTATTGCTCAAGAGGAGCCACGACAAAACAGATGACACATTTGTGCTGTTGAAGGAAAACTCACTGACTCAGATAGACACAAATTGTTCCATACACCTTTCATCCTCATTACCAGGTAACTTTGCCAAGGTCAAGTGGTGACATTCTGATTTACCACGGAGCAGACTGGACACAACTCCCATTTGACGAGACTCTGGAACTCAAATACCAGAAAAAGAAAAAAAAAAAAAAACCAATATTTTCTTAAGGCTTCCAGTTTCGTAATTGAACTTGCTTTCTTGCTTTGTTGAAAATATTATTTTCCTTTCAGTTCAATGACCACAGTCAATCTGAAAGAATAAAAACAGGACTCCCCCAAATCCCCAATTCATCACCAAACTGCTAAATTTAAAATCCAGTTTCACCATCTTCTTGACATCTCCATTTAGCATCTCTGGGAACGAGGACCAAGGAGCCCCACTGTTTTCACTAGCCAGGTCAGGCGGAGCCAGATCCAGGTTCCAGGTACGAAATCAAATTTGGCTCGCTGTGGCTTTACCATTTACAAGAATCTGTATTCATATAAATCAGGGATACATTTCTCTTGGCTCTTATGGAGACCCTTTTAAACAGTGACTTCAGCCCTCCTAAGGTTTTTGTCCGGGTTGCCTAAAAGTGGACAATTTTCACAAGTTTGCTTTGGCACCCATGGCATGAATTTTTATTGAAAGTCTCAGTTGTTTTAGTGGGCACCACAGTCTGCCAGCAGATCTCTGTAGGGGCCTCCCAGCCAATTCGATGAGAACTATGTGCACTTAAAACATGCCAAATGTTGTAAGAAGTGACACGTCCTCCAACTCTTCGCTTGCCTGCATACAACCACTGATTCACTTGCACTTTTGTTTTAAGGACACACTATTGAGTGTGTCTGCAGCATTTCTGAAATCAAGCAGCTATGTCTATATTGAAGTTTATTCTGGTTTTTCCCTACAAAGATTTCTTTATCTCTGGAGTTATACTCAGTGTCTTCTATCATATCAAAAAGGTGAGGCAACAGAAAAATAAGTTTATTGGGAGCATACCTCTTCCGTTGAATTAAACAAGTAAAGATTTTGTTGGGAAGAGATGGGAAGGTCGCCCAAACCCATTCTCAAAATGCCCTTTAAGTCACCCCTGGGAAAGAGCAGTGATTTCGAAGTCTTCAAATAAATGTACAGAGGTATGTGGAGACCAAAAAAGACATCTGTTATTTTTATGCTACTGTGTGTAAATCATCACATAATCACCAGGAAGTCCAACCGTAATCGGCTTAAATCGGCATTTACAAGGTCCTTGCCCCAAGATTGAGAAGTCTCCTGACATCATTCCTTTATTTTCTGATTTTTTTCTATATTCCGTTTTAACCTTACGTCATATTACTTTGTATCATTGAAAAGCTTTTTAGAATTTTACTTTATGGAATGCTTAAGAAGGCTTAGCTTATTCATGGCTCAACCCTTCCACTGCCCAATTTTCGTCTTTAAAATTAGACCAAAATCCTCAAAGCCAATTCCTTCCTGTTTACAAATACCCTGCTCAGTAAATTCTCGGTAAGACCAGAAAACCAATGCAAAGCAGAGAAAAAGATGTACGTGAAAATAGATTTTGTCAGCGGCTCTAGTGAAAACACATTTTAAACCAACTGAAAAAAAAAAAATCTGCTCTTTTACGATTTTCAGCTTCCCTCCCATTATACTGGCTTTAATGTTTTTCCTTTGAATTCTCCTAGGTTACACAGCACTCTTAAACCTCAAGATCGTAAAAGTGAGAAACCTTTCCCAAATCACATGGGTAAAGTCTCAACCTGCTGTTAAAAATACTGCGGATGGGCCAGGCCTTCATTCTGTGGGCAGGTGTCAGAGGCTACACGGACGTAGAGATCCACAGTGAGTAGTAATGAACTACAGGGAGCACGGCATTCCGCACCACCCTGACCCTGGAGAAGTACCATGGTAGATCCTGGGAATTGTCCCATCAACAGACTTTCCCTACTTCGTTTGCTATTTCCTATTTCTTAAGAAAGAAAGAAAGAAAGAAAGAAAGAAAGAAAGAAAGAAAGAGAAAGAAAAAAAAAGAAAGAAAGGAAGGAAGGAAGAAAATTACTTTCCCTTCCTCCTTTCCACCTGGGGACAGCCATGTCGTTAAGCTCTGGCTAAAAAGACATAAGAAGTGCATTAGAGCAGTGTGTCTCAAATTTTACTGTATGTGCGAATCACCTGAGGATCTTGTTAATATACAGAATCTGAATCGGTAATCAGGATGGGGCTAGGGACGTTGCATTTTATTTATTTATTTTTAAAGATTTTATTTATTTATTTGACAGAGAGAGAGATAGCGAGAGCAGGAACACAAGCAGGGGGAATGGGAGAGGGAGAAGCAGGCTTCCCGCCGAGCAGGGAGCCCGATGTGGGGCTCGATCCCATGACCCTGGGATCATGACCTGAGCCGAAGGCAGACGCTTAACGACTGAGCCACCCAGGCGCCCGGGACGTTGCATTTTAATTAGTTCCCAGGTGAGGCATGACGCTGTGACCTGAGGAGCACAATTTGAGTTAGCAAGGATTTTCTTCCTTGATTTGGCCAGAAGGGTGCAAAGAGAAAGCTGCTTCCTGTACTTCCTGCAGCTTCCTGCTTTCGAATGGGATTGAAGAGGGATGTGAGTATGGGGCTGCATCTGCCATCTTGTACTGAAGAGGAATGAAAACCAATGCTGAGAAGAGCAAAGGAGAAGAGTGGAGAGCACGTATGTATTTGATGATGTCATAATGCCAGTGAAGTTCAGTAATTTTAGAACCTCCTACCTCTAGACTTCTTATTTTACTGGGATAATAAATATCATGATGGCTTAAGTCACCGTTGGTCAAGTTTTTTGGGAACTATAACCAAGCAGTTCTTTTTTTTTTTTTTTTTTTTTTTTGAGCGAGAGAGAATGAGAGACAGAGAGCACGAGAGGGAAGAGGGCAGAGGGAGAAGCAGACCCCCTGCTGAGCAGGGAGCCCGATGCGGGACTCGATCCCGGGACTCCAGGATCATGACCTGAGCCGAAGGCAGCCGCTTAACCAACTGAGCCACCCAGGCGCCCCAACCAAGCAGTTCTTATTTATTATATGAACTAAGGTGATCCATTCAGGACTGGGCTTCAGTCAGTCAGCCCAGAGGCAGATCCCATCTTTTGTAGCCCGTGGCCTGTGGAGAGCCACTGGGCCTGGGGTATGGGAATTCGATGGCTGCGAGTCTTCTGGGAGTAGAGAGCATTCACTCATGTGCTGGCAGAAAGGAAATGGACTCTGAAGACTGTAGCAAGTTGGTTTTTAGCCCCTGGCACAGAAGTGGGCAATAGGGGAATGTAGAGATAGAAAAGATGCTGAAGTGTTTCTTCTACTGTCTTATTCTTCTAATGAAACAATTCTGAGGAAAGAGAGGATCAGTTATTTCCCACGGTTGGGCTCAGAACGTGAAGTTAGCTATTGAAATTCATCAGGTAGCTATTGAAAAGCATCTTTTGATGTCCCATATTGAGGATAGGGGTTACAAAATTAGAGTAAGTTAACTAATGTGTATTCTTTTGGGGAAACCACCCACTTGCTTCTCCCATTACTGAATAAACACAGGGTGGTGTAACTTTGTCAACAATGCATTTTTAATTTCTTGCTTTACCTTAAGTATCTCTTACCCCAAAAGAACTCTAATCTTTCCAGTTCTCCCCCAAATCTTCGGTAGCTTTCTTTTCATTGTCTTCATTTTCTTATTGTAGTAGTTAGGCTACAAACGTATCTGCTATTAAAAAAAGAAAAGAACAATAGGTTCACTTAGGTAGAAATGTATGTATGTCTCATTTAATAGTCTGAGTGAAAACAATTCAAGACAGAGAGCAGTTTCACAGTGTCAAGGACTCATGCTTCTTGTAGCCTCTTGCTCCATCAATGTGGGGCTTCTCTGCCTTGTAGTCTGAGGTGGCTGCTCAAGGTCTCAGCATTACGTCTCCAATCCAACCAGATGTGATGGGAAAAGAAGAAATGGAAGAGACTTCCCTCCCTCCCGTTAAAAGCCATGTAGGACTTTAAGGTCCGTGTGCCAGGTAAAACTCAAATTTTGCTACTAAATAGAGAAGTGAAGACTGCATTTTGGAGACACAGTCTGTACCACATGCATTGGTCAACTGGCTTAGAGGGTTTGTGGCTGTCCTTCCGCAACAGCGATTACAAAAAAAATAGCCCCCATTATTGTCCTTTTATTTTTTTAAAGATTTTATTTATTTATTTGAGAGAGAGAGAATGAGAGACAGAGAGCAGGAGAGGGAGGAGGGTCAGAGGGAGAAGCAGACTCCCTGCCGAGCAGGGAGCCCGATGCGGGACTCGATCCCGGGACTCCAGGATCATGACCTGAGCCGAAGGCAGTCGCTTAACCAACTGAGCCACCCAGGCGCCCCCATTATTGTCCTTTTAGATGCACTGGTTTATTTGGAGTACTCAGTGCCAGGACAGAGGTAAGGATGATTCACAGCATAGTCCCCTTTCTGTCTGTCACTCTGGTCGAGCTACCAGGACCTCATATTTGTACTAAGAGACAGGACTAGAATTAAAAAATGAATAAAAACTAACATAGGTGAGATTTCTGGGAGTCCAATGCATGTCTATATGATGCTAGAAGCTTCCGTAACAACGAGAGGGGGCATTTGTATTAACTGCAACAGTCAAAATTTGGTTTAGGTGCCACTGCCCTGAGCATACGGCTTTGCGATTTGGCTCAGCAATCGAGTACGGTGGCAAGAACGCTTCTAACGTGCACTGTTGAAAGAGCTGCTTCTTTGTTCCTTGTCATTGCCATAGTGATTTGCAGCCAAAGAGAAGATCACAGATGGCACACTGAACTCAAAAGATTTGGCTGCAACACACGGCAAGAGTTTCCTGAGAACTTTCAGGACGACTTTGGAAGAATTTGACGGATGCTGGCTTTTTCACAGAACAAGTGGAGCGTGGCCAGAAAAAAATCCTGATGTGTAACTGTCCATTTTCATTGCTTTGGCTACAAGAATTTATTCTTCATTCAGTAGTCCCCACAATTCCACTTTTCCCAATGGCTGCTAAATCTGTGTGATTCAAGCCCATTTGATCCCCTCTTCCCCTGGTTAAGGCTTCCATCTGAAAGAGACAGACATCACTTTCATTCTTATGTCACTGGCCAAAGTAAGTCATTATCTTAAAGAAGCAAGGAGTGAAATCACTACAACATACCCTGAAAGAGGAGAATCAGAATATTCATAAACAGTCAAATGACGGCCACAGTACTTAAATAGTAGACTGAAAATGTCATAAGATAGGAAATATTAGCTATGATGATTGCTATAACCAAATCAAAACTCGATTGCTCCACCTAATTTTGGTGCCAGCAAATGTATTAATCACTACTCTTGCCACCTGGTGCAACTCTTCGTGACTCTTTAAGACACAGGGTGTGCCTCCTAATACAGAGCCTAGTCGCCAAAGAGTATAAAGGAAAACATGATTCTGTTGGTCTGCGTGATATTGAGTAATGGGCCATGCAGCAAAAAAAGTCTCACATTTATGTTTAAAAGGATTTATATTGCAAAGGTATTTTCTACTTTCCTCTAGAACGGCTACTGGGCACAGGGCTGGGATTAGGAAAATTTGTGCAGAGAGTATGATTTGGAACTATTTCATCATCTTTTGGGGCTAATATCTTCTTGCTCTTCTTTTTTTTTTTAAGTAGGCTCCACACCCAGTGTGGAGCCCAGCCTGGGGCTTGAACTCATGACCATGAGATCAAGACCTGAGCTGAGATTAAGAGCCGGGCACTTAACCGACTGAGCCACCCTGGCACCCCAGGGCTAATATTTTCTTTCCACTCTCCACCCCTATTTCCCAAGGCTTCCAGAAGTTTAATACCCACACCTGGGTTTTCACATTCCAAAAAGAAACAATTTTTAGGGATTGTTTCAGTCTCAAAATTCACAATCAGAATGAAACAGTCTCAAAATTCACAATCAGAATTTAACTCTACTGTGATCCATTCTTTAAGGACAAAACTCTTTGAAAAAATAATTTATTACAAAGTGTTTACGGCTGAAAGGAATAGAATGTGTAATCCTTTCCACTAATAAATTTACAAATTAATAAGAGCTTTCAATATTTTTAAGCCAAAGGAGAAAGAAACAATAGGAATTTCAGTTCTCAGGAAAATAATTATGGGAGATCTCTTTGAACAGAACTTCCCCTGGGGGTTTCCCTCAAACCCCGCCATAGATCTTGAAATGATCATTATAGACATAAATAATATCTTTTTTAATTCTTCTGCTGTTACAATAACCTAACTGATACCATCCGATGCTGGCAAGGGTTAAGTTTAACTGACCTCTAATTAAATGCCTTGTATTAGGACAGGAATACTTTTGTGGGAAATAAAGTTTGGATTATCAACTCAGTAGATAAATCAAGGATTAAATCCAATTGTTGATGAATGTTAAGCAAAAGGCAAAAGAAATGTTAAACTAGTCCTACACACAATCCTCTCTCCAGGCACACTGCTTTCTTTTCATTTTTTATGTACATGAGCTCCCTTGCTTAGTGGTCTTTCAATGTGCCATTAGCTCTGCTTGAAGTATACTTACCTTCTTTTCCTACACCACTTTTTTTTTTCTCTTTCCTTATTCTTTAGGACTTATTTAAATGCTATGTCTTCTAGGAAGCTCTACAAGACTCTGGGAGTAGGGGCGGAGCCCTATCTATGTATTTCCATAGGACATCTATTTCCCCATCCAAAGTACTGGCCACTCTATAGACTGATCCATAGCTTCTATACTAAAGAAAGCTCCATCAAGACAGGAATGGTGGCTCCCTTGGTCATTGCTGTCTTCTTAGTATGTCAGGAATAGTACTTGACATAGTGCTCAAAAGGACACTTTGAGTAAATTTGTTACTATATTTAACATTGTAGAAAATTGTCTGTTCCCAATACACTAACTGGCCGTACCCTTGCCTGATGTTAGGGTTTCAAAATTTAGCTATCTCAGTAAAGTAATAATAGATATGGATAGATTTAGTCTATTAGACATGGGTCTGGGCAGAATGATACATTTTCTATAATAGATAAATAATTCCACTATTAGGTTAAACAAAATATGTTAAACGCTATAAATACAAAGATGCTCCTAGAAGTCTTGTTTATCAGGCTTAAATATTAGATATATTCCAAATGCTCACCATTAGGGGATTATTTAAGTAAATTATAGTGTGGCACCTGAATAGAATAATATGTAGCCAACTGAAATGATGGTTATAAAAAAAGAGGGCTGAGGAGACCATCACAACATAGAAAAACCATACAATAAAATGTTAACTAATTACAAAGTATGACACTAAACTGTACAAACGTCATTGTTTTAACTAACTGAAAACATGCGTGTGAAAAGAAATAAAAGAATGATTGCATTAGAGTGGTTGACTGTGGGTTATTTTCTTCCTGAGCCCACATTTTAAATTCACGTGCTTACATTACTTTCATAATTACGGTATGTAATAAAGATATTTGCGACTTTAAATGTCAATTATTATGTATTATGGGTGGCAAAATAAGAGTAACTCTTATAACTGAAAGTTTAAAACTTAAGATGCTAAGACTGGAAACTACAATTGACTGGATAAAAATAGATATTTTACTTAATGTGATAAACTAATAGAAAATAAATTACTAGCCCAATAACAAAGGTTCCTTTTGCAGAACTCATTTCACCCAACAGAATGAAGACAATTGCATTACTTAAAACACCTGGAAGATGGAATTCAAATCACAAGAGGAAATGCTTGGGCATGCATCAGTCTTCTCTGATCTTCCTAAACAGAAATGCTAAATTTTCATGTAATACCTGAATGATTAGGTGCCAAAAAAAGCAGAAGAGATGTAAAGGTAGGAGAAGCAAATAACTAAACAAGGCAGTGTTTCAGAAAGGAATTAGCATGCCAGGCCTTGGCTCAGAAGCAAAAGTCTTTCTGTGAAGGGTTCACAGCATCTATTAAACACAAAGTCAATCACAAAAACAAAACCCATCTGTTTGAGATTAACATTTGTAATAAACATTTTAAAGGAAGGAATGTGGAAGGCAAATATATATTGTGAAACAAAATCTATACTCCTGGGAGAAGTAATACTTCCTTTAAAAAAATTGCAGGGGCCCAAAACTCATTCCTTATACTGAAAGAAATAACAATTAGATGCAGGACAGCACATTAGCAGAGGCATATTTAATTTCTGAGAGGGAAGTATATTAAGGCAAAAATCAAGCACATCCTTCCATTGTAGGAAATGCCAAACTTCCTTAGAGACAATGGACAAAAGAAAAAAAAAATATATATATATATAACTGGAGTATACCTAAAAATGAAGAACACAAATCATATATTTTAAAACCATGGCTTAGATATATTAAATTATTTGGCTGCTCTAAGAAATTATTTATCAAGCACTTCAACAGAGAATCACGATTTGCTCATTTATATTTGGACAATGGCATTAAATAAATGAAATTTTCTATCACAGAAAGTTCTACTGGATAGCACTGGTCTGGGGCCAGTTTGAGAGAGGAACTACTTTATAGGAATCTTGGATTGGGGGCCAGTAAAACTTTAAAGAATGAGTAATGAGATCTGAAGAGTAAAAGTGAAAGCTATACTGTGGAGGGGAGGTTAGGTCCTTACTTTAGAAAAAGAGGGCCTGTTGGTTATAGAAACGTCTAGAGTATTTTTTTTTAAAGATTTTATTTA